GTTAGTGGTGTTCCCCAAGGGTCAGCACTTGGTCCAGTCCTATTCAATATGTTAACCATTCAGTATATTCCTCAGACAAGGGGCAGTGGGCACAAGCTGGAACACAGGAGGTTCCACTTACAAATGAGGAAGAATTTATTTACTGTGAGGGTATCAGAGCACTGGAACAGGCTGCCCAGAGAGGTTGTGGAGTCTCCGTCTCTGAAGATGTTCAAAACCTGCCTGGATGCAGTCCTGTGCAACTTGCTCTAGGTGAACCTGCTTTAGCAAGGGGTTTGGACTAGATGATCTCCAGAGGTCCCTTCCAACCCCTACCATTCTGTGATTCTCTATAGTTCACATTGGTGTTACCCAGCTATAATTACAGGTGAAATAGCTGTAAATGAGTCTGTATACCTTCAGTACAGGTGAGCAATTCTACTTTCTAATCAGAAGGGAAAAAGAAAAGAATGTGGTTATTTGGGTTTTTTTCTTCCCTTGCAAGTCTTTAAGCAAGTATAACTAATGGACTTCTGAAATTTTGTGGAGCCCCCTAGATAAACTGACATTATAAACCAAGAGTCAGAGGCTTAAGTACAAATGAATACACTGTCTGTGGAAAATACACAAGTTTTGCTCTAATAAATTAAGTAATTTGAAGTTTCGTTAGTAAAATTAATTAGCTTTATTTAGTGATTATTTTTGCATACAAATATTAGTGCCCTAAGGAAGGTACATTTTATATATGTTAAAGCACATACTTTGATCTTACAAATGTGAGCAAGGTCATCATTCTCTCTTGGAAGCACGATCTGGCAAGGCTTTGTCCTCCTGAAGGGACTGAAAATTGCCACAATTCTTTGTCAAGGCAAATTGATTGTCACTGTAGACACTGAATTGTCTCAGCATAAGGAGTGTTGTGATGCTCACAGGTCTCTGTCAGTCATAACGAGTGTACTGTAGCCCATGCTTTGCAGTGCCTGAAGTAATCTAAATGTGTCACCACTGATTAGTGCTAATCATGTCCTGTTGAGTGAGCGCCTTGTAACTGGAGCGGGAATACAGCAGGAGCAAACCTGTACCACCGAGGAGCCAAGAGATGGAACTGGGAAATAAGAGCTTTTAGGAGGAGGGGTGTTGAGTTGTCCCTCTTGCTCAGCAGCTGGCGTGATCAGGAAGGGTGCTAATGTTTACTTTGTCAGTGCAAGACCAGTGGTTACAGGGAAGCCTGACGTGTTGCAGAGCATCAAGTGCTACTACTCTGTACGTATGCCGTGTTTATTTTAGCGCGAACGTCAAAGCTCAGACGTAACAGGTGGCCTCTTCAAGGAGGCTTTGGAACTACATCTACAGAAATAAATATATAAAGGTTTCTGTTCTCTGTCCTTCTCACAGAGACAGCATTTCCATACTCCTTCAGAATTTGATTTTCTTTTATGGAGTTATTTAGCAGAAGCAGAACATGCAAACTTCTTTTTTGGCAGAAGAGCAGGGAAATTTTTGTGTCACACACAAGCAGTGCTCTGCCTCTAGAGGTATAAAGATAATTGAAGTTGACTCTGCCAGCAGAGGATCTTCTGTTCAGCCTGAGCTGTGCATGTAATTGCTAAATTACTTAGTCAAAAAACACTGTATTGGGACTGAGCATGGCTCTTGTGTTACAGGAGTCCAATTTAAAAGTGCTTGAGTCACTAAATAAAGAGTTTGTCCTGAATTTTGTGTTTGCTTTTTGAACAGCATCTAGCTGTTGATTGGAACGTTCAAGGGAAGCGTAGCTTCTCCAAAAGCACTCTAGCTGACTGTCCTGATAAAAATGTACTTAATACAGAACAGTCCTCTACTTTTTCCAGATTGTACACAGTCTCTAGAATGCCTTCTGTGGCTTCTGCAGGCAGGATGCTGGAGGCATTGGATTGGAACTTTTTCTCCAAGTCCTCCTTTTGCAGAGGTTTCCTCCAGTGTCCGTAGAACGTATCACAGCGGTCGCTGATGGCGTTGCCATCCCGAAGCACGACACTCACTTCGCAGTAAAGACTCTCAAAGCTGGGCGTGTTGTCAGGAGGGTGCTCCAGTTGTGTTTTGCAGAGGAGCTCCCGTAAGGCTGGCCGGTGGATGCTCTCACTGGAGAAGGACTGGACTGACATGCTGCCATCCAGCAAAGCAGAGCATGCAACAAACTGGAAGGAGTGTCGAGCTTCATGCTCTGAGGTAGGGCTGGGTCTGTTCACATATTTGACCTCTGGGACTTTCAGAATTACTTTCTCAATTTTATCAAGGGGGAGCAAGTTGTCACTGTTCTCCACAAGCTTCCTTCTAACAGAAGATGCTGCATCAGCCACCCAGTGTGTTCCAAGATGAGCAGGAAAGCGTTTGATGGCCACGTCTTGTTGGTCCAACAGCCAGGGGTAGGAGTGTAAGGTTGGCAGAGTCTGTGGGTTGTAATCTGTGTAAAAGGCACCTATCCCCGATTCCATGTCCAAGATCTGTTTGTTTCCTTGAAGGCCCTGTGACGCTAAGCAAGCTGCTTCCAGTCCATGCTTGGCAGCGTTGCCAACATGGAGGGGCTTTGTTTGGGTTGCTGCATTAGCCAGTGGGGCACCTGCATAGGAAGCAGCAATAGCCAAGGCATTTTTACATTTCCGCTGATCAAGACCTAGCAGTTTAGCACAAGCTGCTGCGCTCCCCATCGTACCAACCACAGTCGGTGGGTGAAACCTGAGAAAAAACAAAATCTCTCCATTACCAAATTTCAAAAAGTCACCTGATTTTACCATATACACAAGCTCTAATTTCCTTTTACTGCTGTGGAAGGTGAATTGGACCATAAAGAAACATACATTCAGCATTTTTTTAAACAGTTCCCAAAAAGCATCAAAAGTAGCCCCCAAAAAAGTGGTCCTAAGCACACCTCTGAGCCCAGCACCAGTGACTCCATTCTGCTGAGAGCAAGCCACTGTTTGCAAGTGAGGCAGGATTGTATGTATTCATGAGCACCTGAAACCTGTGCTGTTAATGTTGCCCTTTTGCTGATGTTTTTAATTAATAGGGAGATCATCACCTCCTTCTTGTAAACTGATCAATGCTCTCAAAAAGAAATCTATTTGCTAAGCTGTAAGGAGTCATGTAAGTGTATTCATGTTTAAGATGAACCTTTCCTAAATTTCCAGCCAAACAGCATAGAAATTAGGATTAACAGTGACATTTGTATTTTATCTGGCATTTAATTAAGTATATTAATACTGAGAAAAACCCCTTACACTCAACTTTCTACTTGAAGCATTTCTGCATACCTTTTTGGAATGTTCCTGGCTTCACTGGAGAAGCGCAGCAGCCTGCCTTGCACTTCGAGTCCCACATTGAAAGCCAAGAGCAGATCGAGACCTGAGATTTTTTTCTCCTGAGGAAAGGCCTCTGAGAGTGCAATCACAGCGGGGAGCACAGCCCCGGATGGGTGTGTGGCTGGATGCCACGTGTCATCAAAATCCATTGAGTGCACCTAGCGGAAAGAGAAGCCTTGATTTGTAAACAGAAATAAATTCTGATTTGGCAAGATTGGCTCAATCAAATGAAACTACTGTACCTGGTATAAAAAAAGGAAGGAAGAACTAGAATTTCCTTAGAAAGCAAAACCTGAAAAGTCTTTCTTTTAAAGACTTTTATTCCCAACACGGCTCAGTGAGAAGAGGCAATGCAATACAAATCTTGCCTCAAAGGAGTGTAATTCTAATTCCAGTTGCACCAGTCTAGAACCAGTATGACAATGAATCTTCTTTTCTATGATAGGCTTTTGCTGCTTTAACTAGACTGGTATAATTAAAGCAACAGTTCTGGGTCCACCGTGTGAGTGGTGAATTTTCACTTCCTCAAAACAGTATATAAACATAATGAAATTACTTCCCCAGTGCTGCAACTGACGCTGCCATTAGGGCTCACACCATTAAAGCTGTAGAGGTTGAATCCATACTGCTAACTGAAAGTTGTATCAGAACTTCTCTGGTGCAACCATCCACAGGCAACAGGTACAAGCCTGTAAATGTAGATCAGACTTTAGCCTGAATTTTCAGCACATCAAAACAAGACCTGTCACATGAGGAACCAGACTTCCTGGGGCTGCTGGAGTAGGAGAAAGCTACAATTTTAAAAATGGGACGAGCTGCTTAGCCCTTGAGAAGGCACCTCTCTGGATAGAGAGGTGCCTCTCTTTCCCATGCCCAGAACCCAGATACTCAGGAAAATTTGTGGCATTCCCAGCATGGCATATGGCTTCTATTCTGGTAGCAGACTGCTCCCAGCAGTGTACTCGGTGTTTGCAAGATACTGCTTGTCAAAAACTCCCACAAAGTTTTGAGAACCCCCCAGGATTTGAGAGCATCAGGGACAGCATTTTTAGTAACATCATAATGCCTCAAAAGCTGAACTTTCATGCCTATTCATCTCTGTCTTACTTCGGAGCAAACTGGAAAGGCGGTCAGGCTCCCCAGTGCTCAGGTCTTGCCCCATAATACTGGGAATACATACTTCTGAGAACTGCGTTCCTGAACAGAGAGGAGAAAACCCAGCCCCTGTCTTGAAGAACTTTGATGCCAGCTGGGAAGATGCCCTGCAGTGCAGGATAAGGAAAGTTGTGCCTGATACCCAGTAAGATGCGTTCCTGGCATCTTCAATAAATGCTTAGAATTGACCTGTGACCGAGATGTAAACTGAAATGATCACATACAGGCGAACAGCCAGATTTGAATGTCACATGGGCTGCTAGCAGCTGAGAGGTATGAGCTCTCATTCCCCAGGTAATTTTTTCTACATTGGAAATGAGATGTCAAATTGGACCTCTGATCTTGTTGTTACACTAATTTAGATATGCTTAATATTACCATTTTCTTGGCTGGTCACCTTCCCTAGTTTTGCATAATTTCCAGATTTGTTTACCCCACCTCTTCTGCATCTTCTGATTTCTAATGGCTTCAACCTCAATCTGAATTTAGACAAATGTCTAGGGAGTCAGTTATTGCTTTAGCAACAAAGTACGTGTTCAAAATACGTAATTGGCTTTTGCAAACCGTGTAACTGAAGATTAAATTGCCTTACGATATTATATGTGTGTATGTCTATGTGCATCTGTCTGTATTTGTGTGCTTCTGTTTGCCAGTTGGCGTGAAATTTGGATATTGGTGATACCAGTGAGAGCTAGCATACCTCTTTGTAATGCAGCTGTAGCAAGGCTGCAATGAGTTGTAGAGTTCTCACCTTTGAAAAGTCCCACATTAAAGGTAAGGGATGCTGTTGAGTTGGATCAGATATACATTATACCTTGAGCTTGGTCTCACTGGAAGAAAGCTGAAAGACTTAAGAGAACAGTCTAGGAAAGTTTTATAGCAGGCTTCAGGCAGAAGAATAAACTAAACTAAGATTTTAAGAGTATTCTGTTCTCTTTAGAGCAAGAATAGCATCAATTAGTGTGATTTAAGAGCAAATAAAAGAGCATCCCTTACAGCCACTCCATTCACAAAAGCTGCATACAGAGGAGGCAGTCGGAAATCCAAGTGGCCCCAGATGGTACTGGATATATCTGAGCTGTAGATCTGAAACAAATTGACATAAATTAATTCAAAGTCCTGAACCCAAGGATAAATGTGCGCCATATCTCTGATGTAAGCAAGATCAGACCATACCCTCTAGGGACCCAACTGTTCCCTTTCATCAGAAAAATACTGTTCTGTTAGAAAGTATGAAAAGAAGCTCGGTTTCCTGTTAGCTTATGTTAAGGGCACTTTCCACCCAAACAGACCTCAGGGGGAAGACCAATACTATACACCTGGCTGTTCAGTACCTTCACACAGCCTCTGGCCATTGACATCCCTTCTCACTGCCTGTCGGCAGTTCCCTCAAGACTGTAATCACCTTGTTGGGGAAGATTGCCAGTTAAAAGTTCTAGTTTTCTAGCACCCTGGGTAAATGATATATGGCCTACTGATGCTGGTGCCCCCATGCTGTAAGGGGCTCTGCTCTTTTCTTTTTGCTGTGTAGATCTTTTAACCAATGAAGAGATTGTTATGGACTTAAATAAAAGGGCATAAACTATTATGGTTTAGGAAGCAGGGATCTCTGTGTGAAGAAACTTATTGGCACACAGAGCTCTGGAGCCTGAGTCCAACTAGGCAGGTCTGACAGATAAAACAGTGGGCTAAACTCCTCCTAATTGATGCACTCCTTTGTTGGGAAGGCTTCTCCTCAAGGTCAAGTACTCCTCTGGTTTAAGCAGGGCAAGACTGAAGGAGAAACATGACCAATGTGCCTCAGACAACAATTATGTTTTACGGACTGCAAGCAACCCACTACTAACCCCCCCTTTAACACTCCATTTGGAAAGTCTCATGTTAAGTGGTATTTGCTGTGCTGATGTTTTTAGTAAAATTTCACAGGTGATAGAAAGGAAGGGATTCTTAATTAACTGTGTTTGTTGTGGTTGGTCTTAGTATACAGTCTGTCACACAGACTTCTGCTCATCCACAGTTAAAAGTAACTTGAGCAATGAAGTTTCCCTGTCTCCAGTGGGAGGAACAGTGTCTCTCTTTCCTTCCTCAAAAGAATTTTACCATGACAAAGTTTCCCCTTATAGCTCAAAAATCTCTTTTGGTTTCTTATAGCTAAACCTTAGGGTTTATGAATGCCAGACATCTTACTTTGCTGTACTGTGTCACTTTGTGGCAGACCTCAGTGCTGGTACCCAGAAGCCCCACTCCAAGTGTATCCAGAATCATTCGCTTGCTTCTCTGAATGACTTGGTCTGTCAAGTGGTTTGCATTCAAACCGTGAATCACATTGGCAAAATTTCCTGTAATTGTCTAAGAGGGGAAAAGGAAAAAAAAAAAAAAAAAAAAAAAAAAAGAAGATAATTCTCTTAATTTAAATAATTTTTTTTTCCTTTCTTCTTCCTTTTTTTTTTTTTCTTTCAGTTTTGAGCTACTGCTTAGCATGCTGGCCACTTCTGTTGCCCTGCCCCTGCTTACATGAATTGCATCAGCAAATCTAAAGTTTTAATTCTTCCCCTTTTTATTCCCAGAAATGCCACTATGTTATTTATATTTTATTTATACTTTCATCAGTGTCCTTGTCTGCTCTGTATTTCTGCTGCTTCCTCTCTGACTTGAGCCCTTGAGGGTAAGCACTGCAGATGATGTAACTTTGCAAGATAGCTAAATCTAGATCTAGATCTACACACACACACCCCTATGTATAAAACAAATAGAAGCAAAAACTATCTGGCTTTCCATAGCACCTTCTTATTGCTACTGAAATCAGTGTGAAAGTGGCATTTCAATCCAGTGCAGCCCCTACCACACAAGGAGACAAAATTTAATCTCCCTGAATAGCAGGGAGATTTACTGTCCCTAAGATTTACTATCCTTTACTATCCCTAAGCAAGACTAAAGTCTTGCTGAGCTTGGAGCTCAGTGGGAGATGGGACTTGGCAGCCCTACATTGCACCCGCTGCTCCTGGCTCCCAGCTCCCATTGAATTAATGCTTAGCTGGACTCCCAGCTCTTCTCCAAGACAAGATCTCACCTCTTTGAATGGCAGTGGTTCCTGGCTCCTGCTGATCTGGGAATTATATTTCTAATTTTTGTTTTGCTTTCCCATTGAGCATTGACCCATTATGCAAACCCAACCTGCTTCTTCTTGGCTGGTAATGTTTGCTGTTAATATTGCTATTAGAAACTAGTATAGAACTTCCCTTCTCTGACCATTAGAAACTTCTCCCTATAGGCATATATTATTTACAACCAGTCTATACACACACTTGCTTTTTTATATTGGCATTAGTGAATATAGCTCTTTTCTCTCTTTGGAAATTGTCTCCTTACATTTCCCCTTGTCCTTCTGCTTCCTATAGTCCCCTGCACATATCCACACAGAGTGTTGATAGTTCCTCTTGGCCTTCATTTAGCTAACTTAAACAAATCAAACTGTGCTGCTCTCTTCTTTATATAATACAGACTCACCCCTACTATGCTAGTAGCTTTTCATTACATTGTTCCAATTGGATTTCTCTTTTCTGGCAATGGTGACCAGAATTGTACCCATTATTTCAGACAAGTTCTCACTCAGCTTTTTACTAAAGAATTTAGACTATCTTGAGGTACACAAGTCATTTAAAGCAGGTGAACCACACATTCCATGGTGTGATGCCCGCCTACTGAAACATAGAATGAGGATAAAAAAGCTTGAATGGAAAAGTACATCTTACAGTGCAAAGAAACAAGACAGTACCTTTGCCCACATCTTGGAGGGATGGTGCGTAGTCCCAGGGAGATGTAGCAAACCAATGGCAGACAGTGAGCAGGGGAAATCACTCTCTCACTATTTATATGCATATGTCTGGGGTGGGGGAAGACATATTAGGCCTTTTTTATTGCTCATCTTGTCCTGCCCATTTCCTTCTCTGCTTGGAAATGTTCCTTTTTCTTCACTTTCAGTTTTCTTCTGACTAACTGTACTATAGACTGCTGGGACATGTGTGATAGGACTTTACCAGTCACATTCACGTGTTGTGTAAATTGATATATGTGATAGTTTATTACCAAGTAGAAACTGATATATTAATTTGAGTGTCTTACATTTTGTAGCATGGAGAGAAGAGGTCATCAATCTGACCTTAGGGAGCCACAGTAGGCCATGGATAACTCTATTGGTTGGGAAAGCAGTCAGCCCAGTACTAGACTACAGGATGGAAAAGGCTGTTCTAACTTAAACAACCTGTTGTTGCGTTTTTTTTTTTTGTTTGTTTAACTTAAACAACCTGTTGTTGGGGGTTTTTTTTTGTTTGTTTGTTTGTTTGGTTGGTTGTTTTTTTCCACTATATGTCTCCTCTATAATACATACAATTCAGACACGGGAAAAGTGTGCCATAAGAATTTCACACCATAAATTGGATTAAGGCAGCTCTTGGCATGTAATAGTTTTTTAACAGCATGAATCACTATGTGAGGCCATCGTTTTTACTAGCAGGTTTTCTGCATCTCAGGCAAGGTTGTCTTCTCTGAGGAAGGAGGCGCTTCTCCCACCACCAGTTTAGGGATTTTGCTTCTGTGGGAATACCAGGCTACTAGGAGATTGTGGGTGAGAAATCCCTGCCCATCCTATGAGGAAGGGAGCAGACCCCAGAGGGGTATGAGTAGAGGCCACTGAATAATTCTGAGTGAAAAAGTAATGTATGTCTTATGTTTGGGAACCTCCTGGATCAGGGAACAAAGTATCAGGTCTTTTCAGAATTGCAGTCTTGCACTTCCATGCTTAAGCGGTGCCTAAAACTGTAGGAACCTCATCCCTTTATTCAGCCCTAGCTTCAAATAATTTTGTAAAGCCTTATCTGACTCTTGAGTGCTTCCAGGTACAGACCAGCATGGTTCTACAGGTGAAGTTAAACATTGATTTGAGTGGCTGTAACTACTACTGAAAGGTCCTGTTTCAGGCTGCATCCTCTCCCTGCTGCTGTCCCTGGACACATAGTCCTCCTCCTCCTCTCCTCACTCCAGTGCTGATGCTGAGCAGACCCCTTTCTGACCTGGTACAGCCTATCTCCAGAGCCAGCTCAGGGGCTCTCAGCTGTCAGGCAAAACTGAGTTTCATTGCCTCAGAAATGCAAAATAAAATCTAGCAGCACAAGCAAAGAAAGAGAAGTAGGGCTAGCAGTATTCTGTGAAATTTTAGTAGGAGGGCATGGGCAGGTAAAAAGAGATGGGGAGGGATCAGCTGTTCCCCAGCAAGCTCTAACCCAGACATTTGCCTGTTTAGCCTGTGCCTTGAGCCTACTCTTCTTGTGGATGTCATCTTCAGGTGCCTAACGATGCTGAAAATTGCTCTGGTAACAGAGTACCTTAAATGATAGAAGCTGTAGTGTGTCTGTTCATGGATGTAGCCAAAGAGCCTGAGACCCAGGACTCCTAAAATCCAGCCCTACGAACACATACATACTTCTATACAGGCTAACCTGCTTTATGTGCAGGCTCCATTTAAAACCTTGTCCTGTCTTTCTCATAAATATAAGCAGCTGTTCAGCATGGCTACTAAACCTCTTCCCACACACATTTCCCTGTGAGCATACTCAAGCTTCCTCCCTCAGGCATATATAATCTGCACCTACATAAAACATCCCAGCAGCACTTCCTAGTTCCTGGGTGAGATGTGCATTTTGGTCAAATCCTGACCCCAAGGGGAAACAAGAACCAAAATGTGCATCAGTGCTTCTTCCTTGCCCCCTCATTTCCACACTAATGAAAACCTCAGATGTAGTGTGGATGTGCTGAAGAATTACCTTTGGTGCTCATAAAGTCCAGCCCAGCTCATGGGATTGCTCATGTTGACAAGGTTGGCAATAGTTAGAAAGGTTAATAGAAGTTAATGCTATTGGACTGAAAAAGGAAAACATTTTGTTAAGTTTCACTTTTGTTCTTTCAGCTCATTCTTTCCTCCAGAAAAATGGAAGGAAATATCTAAATCAGAGAACCACACAATCACAAGGTGGCTGAGGTTGGAAGGGACCTCCATAGATCATCTGATCCAACCTGCCTGTTGTGGCAGGGCCACCCAGAGCAGGTTGCCCAGCACTGTGTCCAGTTGGGTTTTGAATATCTCCGAGGATGGAGAATCCACACCCTCTCTGGGTAACTTGTGACAATGTTTGACCATGAAACATTTACATATTAAATAAAAGATATTAAAACCTGTGAGGAACTGCACTATGGACTTGTCT